GCGCGGCGCGCACACACACACACACACACACACACACACACACACACACACACACACACACACACACACACACACACACACACACACACACACACACACACACACTGGAGAACCAAGCAGGGATAACAGGGAAGGCACTACAATGGATCAGGGAATACTTGTCAGGAAGACAGCAGCGAGTAATGGTACGTGGCGAGGTGTCCGAGTGGGCACCTGTGACCAGCGGGGTCCCACAGGGGTCAGTCCTAGGACCAGTGCTGTTTCTGGTATTTGTGAACATGACGGAAGGAATAGACTCCAAAGTGTCCCTGTTTGCAGATGACGTGAAGTTGATGAGAAGAGTTCATTCGATCGAAGACCAGGCAGAAATACAAAAGGATCTGGACAGGCTGCAGACCTGGTCCAGCAACTGGCTCCTTGAGTTCAATCCCACCAAGTGCAAAGTCATGAGGATTGGGGAAGGGCAAAGAACACCGCAGACGGAGTACAGTCTAGGGGGCCAGAGACTACAAACCTCACTCAAGGAAAAAGATCTTGGGGTGAGTATAACACCAGGCACATCTCCTGAAGCGCACATCAACCAAATAACTGCTGCAGCATATGGGCGCCTGGCAAACCTCAGAACAGCATTCCGACATCTTAATAAGGAATCGTTCAGGACCCTGTACACCGTGTACGTTAGGCCCATATTGGAGTATGCGGCACCAGTTTGGAACCCACACCTAGCCAAGCATGTAAAGAAACTAGAGAAAGTGCAAAGGTTTGCAACAAGACTAGTCCCAGAGTTAAGAGATATGTCCTATGAGGAGAGGTTAAGGGAAATCAACCTGACGACACCGGAGGACAGGAGAGATAGGGGGACATGATAACGACTTACAAAATACTGAGAGGAATTGACAAGGTGGACAAAGACAGGATGTTCCAGAGACTGGACACAGCAACACGGGGACACAGTTGGAAGCTGAAGACACAGATGAATCAAAGGGATGTTAGGAAGTATTTCTTCAGCCACAGAGTAGTCAGGAAGTGGAATAGTTTGGGAAGCGATGTAGTGGAGGCAGGATCCATACATAGCTTTAAGCAGAGGTACGATCAAGCTCATGGTTCAGAGAGAGTGACCTAGTAGCGACCAGTGAAGAGGCGGGGCCAGGAGCTTGGACTCGACCCCTGCAACCTCAACTGAGTACAACTAGGTGAGTACACACACACACACACACACACACACACACACACACCTCTTATATCCTTAGATCATCGCAGATCTCAAAACATCAGCAATACTTTAGTAGTTTTCAATCTACGACATACATGTCTTTACTAAACAGCTGACTGAACAGAGTGAGGTTCGAACCTATGGTAAGTACTCTTAAAATCAAGTTGGCTATGCGTTCTGAATATTTCTGTATATCACTGGTAAAACATACCGCCAAGTGTCTTAATAAGACACAATAAACGGTTTATGTAATAACCCGCTTATTGTGTCTTACTCTTAATTTTTAACCTGTGAATGAGGTCCATGTCAGTAAAATACAAATTCACTCTGTTTCTTCTAGTTCCATAAAAAATATAAATTCACTGTTTCTTCCTAGTTCTCCAAAGATTTAAATTTACTTTGTTTCTTCCTAGTTCCGCAACAGATATATATTCACTCTGTTCCTTTCTAGCTCCCCAAAAGAAGCCTAAACATGGGAGGGAGTGTCCTAGTGGTCTGAAGTGTGTACCACTGGTGCGTTGTGCACCTTGCTACCACCAGGTGGAGAACCAGCCACAGCTTGCTTGTTCCATCTATGGTGGTGCTGTGGGAGTCTGCTGCCCTGAACTACACAACGAGGGTGAGTTTACGACTTTGTTCTCTTTATGCCCACTGTAGTTTGTTCTTTGCGTTTATCACTCTGTGTGTGAGTGTACATGTGATCACGCACACGTATGAGGCACCTGTGGATCTCTGTGCTTCACATCAATACACAATATATTTGAATTATTTGTCATTCCGTAGAAAACCTGCGGCAGTTGTTCACTGAGCCGACAATTGAGCTTCCTGAGCTAGGCTTCAATGAATTCACCATCAACGAAGCCTTGAAGGTCGGCGTCTGGGAGCTGAAGGAGAGAAGAATGCTGGAAGAGGTTAATACCGTCATTCACTCTGTTTTAATTATTAATTTCGCTACACACTTCCCTTATAAACTTATCCTTAAGATAGAGGTTTTTTGGAAAGATAAATACAGATGCAGTATAATGCGATCCTTCATTGACAACGTCTCGCCCACACAGTGAACTTTATCAAGTCACAAACATATCTACCTGAGTGAAGAGTACATGAGTATACATTATAAGGTAGAGAGTCAAATACAACCTACCCAACATTCTCCACCTGACTCCACACTATAATGTACAGTCATTGTGGCTAGCTGGTCTAGTGGCTAACGCGACGGGCTGGAGTTTTGAGACTCTATGACCGCGGGTTCAATCCCGGCCGGGGGTATGGTTTATGTACTCTTTACCCAGGTAGATCAATAAAGGATCGCATTATATTGTATCTGTCTATTTTTCGACCGTGTCGGTATTTTATACCATTATCTTCATAAACGTTTTTTTGGGCCAAGACATTTTTTCACCTCCCTAATCTCAATATTTCTCGCGCGTGACTTTGAAATTCACAGAGTAAAAAAATAATGATATAGACCTTATGGATATCACTACCTGAAGGGTCATTGGTGTAATTTTAATATTTATACTAATGGTTGTGGATAATGCCTAAACGATTTTGTTTTTGTAAAGCTTAACAATACTGAAAATATTTTTTGACAAGAAGAGATACAATATATCGGATTTTATAATAATTTTATCTAAACATACTGACGCTGTTAAAGATGTTACATAGCAATTATCATATATGAATCAAAGGATAATCTAACGTGTGTGTGTGTGTGTGGTGAGCACACATCAGAGGTAAGTCGCACATACTGCTACATTTTGGTGTACTACAGGTGTTGCGGGAACGGGACATCGAGGTAACAAATACTCGTGACCCAGCTTACCACCATCTTCAGTTCTTCAGGACATCTCCACTAGCTCTTGAGCTTAACGAAGTCGCCTATGTCCACAACCAGGCTGGATACAGCCTAATGACCAAGTGAGTCTTCTCGTAAGTGATTTTTATGTCTTTACAATGTGAGGTTACTAACTTCTCTCAGCTTTGGGTTATGCATCATCTACTGAGTTGATAAGAGCTGAACTATTTTTAATAGATATTAAGATTTTAAAAACTTCCTGATATACCAGTGTCACTGGTAAACAGGTTTGATGTAAATGGTCAAATTGAAGAAACATTTGGGAATTTTTATGGGGAAACGTTTCGCCAGGTGAATACAAAGATAAATGATGGAAGAAGAGGAGTTGGAGGTAATCAATCCCTCAGCCTCTAGTCCTTGTGGTCAGTCCATCAGTCTAAGATGGAGTGGGATCACTTTATCAATCTAGATTAATGGACTGAACATATACTATTCCAGGATGAGGGACTGATTACCGTTCGTTATTGTCATTGAATGACTGAATAAGCCACTGGCTGGTGAAACGTTTCCTCGGTAATGATTTCCAAATGTTGTAGAAGCATCTCATTCTTCAAACAGGTTTGAACTGAGCCCCCTGCAGGCTGGGTATGGTCTGCAGCAGATCGACGTGACCGAGACCAGGCTCGCCAACACCTGCCCGAGGGACCCCGTATGCCAAGAGAGGGACACCTACTACCGCAGGATCGATGGCGCCTGTAACAACCTGGAGAACCCTATGTGGGGCCAGGCCAGAACAACCTTCCAGAGACTACGTCCTCCCTACTACAGAGATGGTGAGTGTTGCTGGTTGTCTCGGTGTTTCCTGTTCTTGGCCTTCCCGAGTACATTCGTATCCTGACCTTGCTTGTAGCTAATTAACTAAGAATTATTTCAATGTGTATTTACTGAAAAAAACGTCATTAGGATGCCAAGACCAACAAGTATTTTACTTGCATGGGAAGAATTTTTGTCTTTTCCCACCCTTGAAGTCTTCGTGCATGAGAAGAATGTATATTTTTCCCACCCTTGAAGTTCGTGCATGGGAAGAATGTATATTTTTCCCACCCTTGAAGTCTTCGTGCATGAGAAGAATGTATATTTTTCCCACCCTTGAAGTCTTCGTGCATGAGAAGAATGTATATTTTTCCTACCCTTGAAGTCTTCAAGAATGATGAAGTGATGCATCACCACACTCTGGCTTGAACCAACGGAGGTGCTGGCATATGAAGGTTGTGCTAAAGACTTAAAGAAAGTACCGTGCACCTGTGGACTGAATGTCACTAAGGATCAAGCCATTAAGCTAGGCTTAATGGCTTAGTAAGATACCCTTGTTATCCTTGAAATAATCGCAAAATGTAAGAATCTATTCATAACTATTGGATGGTTTTATATATATATATATATATATATAATATATTAATATATATATATTTATAATATATATATATATAATATATTAATATATTATAAATATATTATATAATATAAAATTACATAACATACATACATATCCTAGTTTTATAAACTAGTGGTTAAATCAATCAAGTAGTGATTGAATATTTATAAATATTGTTCAAAAACACGCAAAACTACACAAATCACTTGAAAATATTTCTTAAACTGAAAATCAAGAAATAATTAGTAAAATGTAATTAGTTTCATATTTTTATACTTCTAGAAGACTGACTACCGATTTAACATCAATGCATTCTCAGTCGTCACCAGGAAGCTACAATGGTGGCCAAGTGTTCACTGGGTGACATTATGGTTTCAGGTGACTTAGCTAATAGATGCTGGTGATTTACTTGACACTGATGAAGTAACTGTTATTTTGACAAAGTGGATTAGGCCTCCTGGAGACACCACTTAAAAAAAAAGTCACGACGTCCATCTCTGTACTTCTAAAAACTAGATAGTTTCCTAAATTATTTCGGTGTGAATTTTTAGATGACTTGGTGCTAAAATAATTTTAAAGTCTTAAGAATTCTTTTAAATATATATATTAATTAAAGTTCTATATTATATAATTTCCCAACAAGAAATGTTTGTGTGGCTGCAGGTCTGGCACAACCTCGGGTGAGTCAGACTGGTGCCGACCTTCCATCAGCCAGACTGGTGTCCACCAGTATCGTCAGTGACATGGATAAACCCAGCTTACACTTCACCGTTTCTATGATGGAGTGGGGTCAGTTTATCGACCATGATCTTACACACACTCCCATTAACAGGCTGGGTGAGTAGACTACAGATCCTTTACTGTGCATTATGAAGTACTGGAAACAAACTCAGTGTACACTCTTTCATACTCTGTTACGACATAGAATCAACAGGCTGTTACACTCCTCTTTACAATGTCACTCAAAAGTATAAGACATCCTTACTTATGTGTGTAAGAACATCCTTATTCATATGTGTTACATCCTTGAGCATGTATGTAACACATCTTTGATATGTGTAGAAGATGCTGGACTATGTGTGTGCAGGTGCATATGTTAACTAAACTTCAGACGTAGTTATCTTGGTTGTCAGGTAATAACAGTGGAATCCAGTGCTGCTCTAGTGATGGTCGTAGCTTCATCCAGCCTCCCTTCGTCCACCCTTCTTGCTTCCCCATTGAGATCCCTGCCAATGACCCATTCTTCGGTAGAAGCGGTCGCCGCTGCATGAACTTCGTCAGGTCTATGTTTGCCCCCAGGAACTCTCCATGCACACTAGGATATTCTGAGCAGGTAAGCAACATGGTGTTAACTTATTACGTTTTTCTTCATTTTCGTTAATATGCCACTACCATCATCACCACTTTACCATATTACAACACCTTTATCACAGATGAACCAGGTCACACACTTCCTGGACGGGTCTAACATCTACGGGTCCAGCGTCTCTGAAGAGCAGCAGTTGAGAGCGTTCCGTGGCGGCTTACTGAAAGTGCAGGAGAGTGACCTCCTCCCAGCTGATGTGCACGTCATGGAGTGTGAGACCATCAGAGAAGGATTACCTTGTTTCATGGCTGGTATGATTTTTACTTCAAGTGTCCAAGTCCTTCTATATGTCTCTCTGTATGATTCCCCTTTAACCTTTCATACAGAAATATACATTTCTGATACCAAGAAATGCATTGTTTAACAAAATTACGTGCCTTATTAATTAATATTAGGTTGTTGTTGTTTTTGGTTCTTTTCTCCTTCCTTATCCTTGTTTGTCAGTCCATCTGACCTATCGATCTTTAGTTATTTATTTATGTATTATTTCTATCATCTAATTATATGTTCGTCTGCCTCTTGATTAATCAATCAACATAACACTAGAATTTGTGCTTCTGTCTTCTTGTCCGAACATATGAATAAGCAGACACACAAAAAGTGGATAATTTTAAGACTTACTGCAGATTTGGTCCCTTTTTCGAAGGCTAAAAACAAACCACATTGTGAAAACCCTCAAGTACATCCATGATCTGCTTATAAACAAAATATTAAAATAGTATATTAATATATTTCAGTATGTATTGCCTTAACTTTATAAACAGAATCTTAAACATGTATATTTCATGGTAAATATTACTGGAATTAACGAAGCATTTGATGAAGACTCTTACAAGTTAGGAATGAAGGCGACAGTGAGCACTAAACACGGGTGCATTTTGAACAGGAGACAACAGGGTGAACGAGCAGGTAGCGCTTGCTGTCATGCACACTGTGTGGGTGAGGATACATAACCGTATAGCCCGGGAGCTGGCACGCCTCAACCCACACTGGTCAGACGAGACTCTCTACCAGGAGACCAGGAGGATTGTGGTGGCCCTTTACCAGCATATTATCTACAATGAGTGGCTCCCTAATGTACTTGGTGAGTATCACCCTCTCTCATTCCTTCCAATATTAGTAAAAGCAACAGGTTACTAGCTGTGGTTCACCAGTAACACTAACGGTAAATGACAGATTCGTAAGTAACTAGTGACTAACAAGAGAAATCAACTGTTAGTATAGCCAAATAGTATTAATACCATTATTAGAATCATAACTAAGCGCTAAACCCATAAGGTTCATATACCAGACTTCCACCATAAAGATTTTCACATAATTTGAGTTTTGTAATTTAACAGTTATAGTGTTTCTTTAACCAAGCTTAATAGTCTACATACTTCCTACTCTGTTCCATCTTCACATTAACTAATTTCCCTCGAATGTTACTTCACTGACATCTGCTATATTTTTATCTGGTTTTATTTGAGCCAGGCTCATTATATCAGGGCTCTTCGTGTTTACAATCTCTCTCTTTCTCTCTCTCTCTCTCCTCTCTCTCTCTCTCTCTCTCTCTCTCTCTCTCTCAGGTCATCGTTGTGACGTGTTCTAATCGTGTCTATATTTTCTGATTCGATTATGTCTCGGTACACGTTCTTTACAATTGAAACTGTATAATTATTTCATTATCATACTAGTTTTCCTTATTTCCTCTTTATCTCTCTTGATTTTTTAAGATTTCTTTGTCAGAACATTAAAAAATGATCAGTTTCCTTGACTGGCCTATTACTTATATATATATAATATATATATATATATATATATATATATATATATATATATATATATATATATATATATATATATATATATTATTATCACACTGGCCGATTCCCACCAAGGCAGGGTGGCCCGAAAAAGAAAAACTTTCACCATCATTCACTCCATCACTGTCTTGCCAGAAGGGTGCTTTACACTACAGTTTTTAAACTGCAACATTAACACCCCTCCTTCAGAGTGCAGGCACTGTACTTTCCCATCTCCAGGACTCAAGTCCGGCCTGCCGGTTTCCATGAACCCCTTCATAAATGTTACTTTGCTCACACTCCAACAGCACGTCAAGTATTAAAAACCATTTGTCTCCATTCACTCCTATCAAACACGCTCACGCATGCCTGCTGGAAGTCCAAGCCCCTCGCACACAAAACCTCCTTTACCCCCTCTCTCCAACCTTTCCTAGGCCGAACCCTACCCCGCCTTCCTTCCACTACAGACTGATACACTCTTGAAGTTATTCTGTTTCGCTCCATTCTCTCCACATGTCCGAACCACCTCAACAACCCTTCCTCAGCCCTCTGGACAACAGTTTTGGTAATCCCGCACCTCCTCCTAACTTCCAAACTACGAATTCTCTGCATTATATTCACACCACACATTGCTCTCAGACATGACATCTCCACTGCCTCCAGCCTTCTCCTCGCTGCAACATTCATCACCCATGCTTCACACCCATATAAGAGCGTTGGTAAAACTATACTCTCATGCATTCCCCTCTTTGCCTCCAAGGACAAAGTTCTTTGTCTCCAGAGACTCCTAAGTGCACCACTCACCTTTTACCCTCATCAATTCTATGATTCACCTCATCTTTCATAGACCCATCCGCTGACACGTCCACTCCCAAATATCTGAATACATTCACCTCCTCCATACTCTCTCCCTCCAATCTGATATCCAATCTTTCATCACCTAATCTTTTTGTTATCCTCATAACCTTACTCTTTCCTGTATTCACTTTCAATTTTCTTCTTTTGCACACCCTACCAAATTCATCCACCAATCTCTGCAACTTCTCTTCAGAATCTCCCAAGAGCACAGTGTCATCAGCAAAGAGCAACTGTGACAACTCCCACTTTATGTGTGATTCTTTATCTTTTAACTCCACGCCTCTTGCCAAGACCCTCGCATTTACTTCTCTTACAACCCCATCTATAAATATATTAACCACGGTGACATCACACATCCTTGTCTAAGGCCTACTTTTACTGGGAAATAATTTCCCTCTTTCCTATGTACTCTAACTTGAGCCTCACTATCCTCGTAAAAACTCTTCACTGCTTTCAGTAACCTACCTCCTACACCGTACACCTGCAACATCTGCCACATTGCCCCCCTATCCACCCTGTCATACGCCTTTTCCAAATCCATAAATGCCACAAAGACCTCTTTAGCCTTATCTAAATACTGTTCACTTATATGTTTCACTGTAAACACCTGGTCCACACACCCCCTACCTTTCCTAAAGCCTCTTTGTTCATCTGCTATCCTATTCTCCGTTTTACTCTTAATTCTTTCAATAATAACTCTACCATACACTTTACCAGGTATACTCAACAGACTTATCCCCCTATAATTTTTGCACTCTCTTTTATCCCCTTTGCCTTTATACAAAGGAACTATGCATGCTCTCTGCCAATCCCTAGGTACCTTACCCTCTTCCATACATTTATTAAATAATTGCACCAACTACTCCAAAACTATATCCCCACCTGCTTTTAACATTTCTATCTTTATCCCATCAATCCCGGCTGCCTTACCCCCTTTCATTTTACCTACTGCCTCACGAACTTCCCCCACACTCACAACTGGCTCTTCCTCACTCCTACAAGATGTTGTTCCTCCTTGCCCTATACACGAAATCACAGCTTCCCTATCTTCATCAACATTTAACAATTCCTCAAAATATTCCCTCCATCTTCCCAATACCTCTAACTCTCCATTTAATAACTCTCCTCTCCTATTTTTAACTGACAAATCCATTTGTTCTCTAGGCATACAATACCGACAGGTTGGTAGGTAAGACACATAGGCAACAGTTAGGCAACTTTATTCCGAAACGTTTGGCCTGCACAGTAGGCTTCAGTCGAATACAGAAAGTAGGCAGGAACAGTAGAGATGTGAAGACGATGTAATCAGTCCATCACCCTTGAAGTCGTAGAATTTGAGGTTGTCAGTCTCTACTGTGTAGGCCAAACGTTTCGGAATAAAGTTGCCTAACTGTTGCCTATGCATATATATATATATATATATATATATATATAATATATATATATATAATATATATATATATATGTCGTGCCGAATAGGCAGAACTTGCGATCTTGGCTTAAATAGCAACGCTCATCTTGCCATATAGGACAAGCGAAAATTTGTGTATGCAATAATTTCGCCAAAATCATTCTCAACCTAACGAAAAAAATATGTTTCACTGTGTTTGTTTAGTATTAAATTACTGTAAACAAATCTAAAATATATTTAGTTGGGTTAGGCTAAAATAAATTGATCTTGTTATAATAAGGTTAGGTAAGTTTTCTAAGATTCTTTTGGTGCAAAATTAAAAATTTTTACATTAACATTAATGAAAAAAATATATCTTCAAACGTATAAGAGGAAATTTTAGAAAGGACTTAATTTTAAACGAGTTCTTGCTAACTGACCAGTTTTACATATTCGCCACGACATTATATATATATATATATATATATATATATATATATATATATATATATATATATATATATATAATATAGGGAGGTACCACCTTTAGAACTGTCCTGGGGACCCTCATCCTCAGAGAAAAGAATAAACTTGCTTCAGGGAAAACTCAAGGTTCTCCCTGAAGCTGTTTAAGAATTTTCTCCTACCACCCCCTATATTTCAAGTATGTTTTATTTAAAGACAAAATACATTGGCCAAACATTCACAAAAATACAACAGAAAGTAAAACAACATAGGTAACTCAGAGCTACATCTCGAATACTTCCTCCAGCTCCCCTACGGTGGGCCGCGTGCCCAGAATGCTGCAGGCATTTCCTCTCTGGATCGCAACATATATATATATATATATATATATATATATATATATATATATATATATATATATATATATATATATATATATATATAATCGTCTTGTTAATGTTAACTATGGTAGCGTTTTTTCATTTTTACTAATCTGTCAATGTGTATGTGTGATCCTCCGTCAGTGTGAGTCTGAACTTTATAGAGTATCCTGAGTCTGTCATTGTGTAAGTGTAATCCACTGTCAATGCCCTTAATCTGTCACTGAGTGCAGGCAAGGACTACATGGCTGCCAATGGATTGCTGCCCCGCCGAGGCGGATACTCTCGGGACTATGACAGGAGCCTCAATGCAGTTATTCTGAATGAATTTGCTACCGTCGCTTTCCGCTTCGGTCACACCCTCGCCCAAGGCATGATTCAGTAAGTGGTCACACCCTCGTCCAAGGCATGATTCAGTAAGTGGTCACACCCTCGTCCAAGGCATGATTCAGTAAGTGGTCACACCCTCGTCCAAGGCATGATTCAGTAAGTGGTCACACCCTCGTCCAAGGCATGATTCAGTAAGTGGTCACATTGAAGGCTATTGCCACCACCCCTGGCCTAGATAGATACACCACATCCTTGGCATCTCACGTCATCTCTGCCACAGAAGTGATCCTAAGTTATCAATAAATGGAACTATGAAGGCAGTGTTGTTATATTCAACAGTGACTCCTGTCAAACAAAATAACTATAACACTTAAAAACCATCTCACCTCACACATAACAGAAGGATTCAAGTTTTGAGCAGACACCAAAGATATCTGCTTAGAAGAGGGTTGACAAGCAGACACCAAAGGTGTCTGCTTGTCCACCCTCACCCTGCACACATTTACAATTAAAAGGAATTTAATTTATGTTTATCTGGAGAGAGTTCCGGGGGTCAACGCCCCCGCGGCCCGGTCTGTGACCAGGCCTCCTTAGGTCAGTGTCCCAGGATGCGACCCACACCAGTCGACTAACACCCAGGTACCCATTTTACTGATGGGGAACATAGACAACAGGTGGAAAGAAACACGTCCAATGTTTCTACTCTGGCTGGGAATCGAACCCAGGCCCTCACCGTGTGAAGCGAGAGCGTTAGCCACCAGGCCACCAAGAATATATGTAGCACTCAACTAGATTACTTGATCAGGCAGGGATGGCTGTGGTGGCACCCGATTCAGGACAACAAAAATCTTTCAAAAATTTTATTATTAATATTAGGCTGATGATTAGTGTTGAGGTTATGATGTAGTATTAAATTGATGGTCAGTGTTAGGATGATTGTGTAATGCTAAATTGATGGTCAGTGTTAGGATGATTGTGTAATGCTAAATTGATGGTCAGTGTTAGGATGATTGTGTAATGCTAAATTGATGGTCGGTGTTGAAGTGATTGTGTAGTGTTAAACTGATGTACATTTACGGCTCATTCGCCACGAGTTCAATCCCCTCTTGTAGTATGATTTGTCTGCAACCGCGTCATTACGACTTTGTGAGTCTTGTTGGTCAGTGTTAGGGTGATGGAGCATGTATTAAGGCGATAGTGGAGTGTTAAGGCGATACCTAAGTGCTTGAAGGTGATACTGCTGTTTAAGGTAATAAAACAGTGTTAGGGGCAACTTTAAGGTGAAGTGTCAACATTTATGTGTACATGCGTGTCCACCTGCAGGTTGGTGGGCAAGAAGGGCATGTCAACAGGACTTCTGCCGCTACACGAGAACTTCAACAACCCGCGGCAGCTGTACACGCCAGGACGGCTGGACGAGTTCCTCCGAGGAATCGCCACACAACCCGTCCAGATGTTTGACAGATTCGTCACTTCCGAACTCACTAACAGACTCTTCGAAGTAAGTTGTCACCCCTTTTCTTTCTTTTAAATAATTATAAAAGGTCACATCGTGTTTCGACACTTACATTTTATGATCTTTAAAAGTATAAATGAGAAAGTCTACTAAAGAGTAAAGATTATGCTGATAATATATGAAAAGATAGCAAATTCAGAACTTAGGGACGGAGTGTAAATTAAAGGAGTAAGTTGCGTCAATAACCATAAATTTTAAAGTGGTGGACCGGTAAGCTAGTGGAAGGTTTCGGTCAGATGACCAAAAGCTCCAGCTGCGGGTCATCATATGACTCAGATCCGCGTCAGAACAAACCTTACCTAACCTAATTTGATCACAGACCAAAGTGCACACGTTATATAATCACAAAGCGATTTGATTTTATATATATATATATATATATATATATATATATATATATATATATATATATATATATATATATATATATATATATATGTCGTGCCGAATAGGCAGAACTTGCGATCTTGGCTTAAATAGCAACGCTCATCTTGCCATATAGGACAAGCGAAAATTTGTGTATGCAATAATTTCGCCAAAATCATTCTAAACCTAACGAAAAAAATATATTTCACTGTGTTTGTTTGGTAAGTAAGTTTATTCAGGTATACACAAATACAGTTGGTATAAACCTTGGTAATAAATACCGACAAGTTGGTTTAGAAAGACACGTAAGCAAACACTATAACATATTTATTAGAAAACGTTTCGGTCCTGGGACCTTGATCACTTCTAACATACAGAGGTAGAAAGACATTATATATATAGGCGGAGAGTGAGATGTGACGCACGTGACCTGAGGAATGTCATAAGAACATAAGAATGGAGGAACACTGTAGAAGGCCTACTGGCCCATGCGAGGCAGGTCCTTATCAAAACAACCTCTGCCTATGATGAGGACCTGCTGTATAGTCCTTGTGGCTTAGAGCTTCTTTTTGATTATAATAATAATAATATGATGAGGACCAGTAGACGATGAAATCATGTGACTCCTGTGTTGTTGGGTTGGTGCTGCTTAAGTATCATGTATGCCAATGTTTTTGAAATTTTGTAGTTTCCAGTGTTGCGTTCTATAGTGTCGGTGACGGTGATTAGTGAGGCTTCTAGGCACCGTCGGCGTCTGAGGTCTGGTTCGGTGAGAACGAGTTGTGCCTCGTTCCAGTTCATCAAATGCCCCGTGGAGTCTCTGTGGAGGACACAGGCGTACCTTACATCGTCTCTGTTAGAGGCATTTCGATGCTCATTCAGGCGGACTGCAAGATCTCTGCCTGTCTCGCCTGTCTTGGGTTCTGTCCCAAGAAATATGTAGGCGAGACAGGCAGAGATCTTGCAGTCCGCCTGAATGAGCATCGAAATGCCTCTAACAGAGACGATGTAAGGTAGCCTGTGTCCTCCACAGAGACTCCACGGGGCATTTGATGAACTGGAACGAGGCACAACTCGTTCTCACCGAACCAGACCTCAGACGCCGACGGTGCCTAGAAGCCTCACTAATCACCGTCACCGACACTATAGAACGCAACACTGGAAACTACAAAATTTCAAAAACATTGGCATACATGATACTTAAGCAGCACCAACCCAACAACACAGGAGTCACATGATTTCATCGTCTACTGGTCCTCATCATAGGCAGAGGTTGTTTTGATAAGGACCTGCCTCGCATGGGCCAGTAGGCCTTCTACAGTGTTGCTCCATTCTTATGTTCTTATGACATTCCTCAGGTCACGTGCGTCACATCTCACTCTCCGCCTATATATATAATGTCTTTCTACCTCTGTATGTTAGAAGTGATCAAGGTCCCAGGACCGAAACGTTTTCTAATAAATATGTTATAGTGTTTGCTTACGTGTCTTTCTAAACCACAAATACAGTTACATAGAATTATCATACATAGCAGCATATGTGTAGAGAACCTGGGATAACCCAAAAAAGTCAGACAGAGTGACTTATTTCCATTGGGGTCCTTTTACCTTATTATTATAATATGAAGGCTATAATATTTTCTTATTATTCTATAATGAAGATAACATCTTATTATCATACTAAAAAGACTATCTACTACACAAGGGTCATTAAGACTATCTACAATACGAGGGTCATTACAAGGAATAAGGTAAAATTTACACGTATGTTAGCTAAAAAATAGAAAATCATTCCCCTCCCTTTCTGTAGCTACATTCATCAGACACCTTTTGGCACTCTTCTTGAACTGGTTCATGCTATGACTGGCTTTGACATGTGCGGGTAGTCTGTTCCATTCCTTTATTGCTGTACAATAAAAGGTGTTTGAAGCCTGGCCACTGACTGTGGGTACTACAAAGTTGTGCTCTCTCCCCCTAGTGCGATGATTGCTCTGGTTCCCAACCTTGACAAAATTGATAGCAAGATATTCTGGACATTGTTTGTGAGCAATTTTATAAACATGATTTAGCTTCAGTAGTTTTACTCTGTCTTCAACATTCAGAATATCCAACTGCTGTAATTCATTCTGGCCTACATGTTCTCTGGGTGGTACTAAATTATTGTAAACAAATCTAAAATACATTTAGTTGGGTTAGGCTAAAATAAATTGTTCTTGTTATAATAAGGTTAGGTAAGTTTTCTAAGATTCTTTTAGAGCAAAATTAAAATTTTTTACATTAACATTAATGAAAAAAATATATCTTTCAACGTATAAGAGAAAATTTTAGAAAGGACTTTTAAATGAGTTTTTGCTAATTTACCAGTTTTACATATTCGGCAAGACATATATATATATATATATATATATATATATATATATATATATATATATATATATATATATATATATATATATATATATATATATATATTTATATATATATATATTTATATATATTTATATATATTTATATATAAGTATTTTTAACTCGACTACTAGAAATATACCTAATTGGATGAATCTTACTGATTCTAGCTGGCCCAGGAACAGTTGTGCCAAGCTTGATCAAATCAAAATCAAAATCTTTATTTCCTTGTAAAGCTTACAATGGTTTACAATGTGGTTTACATGTTATAAAATATTAATTACAAAGAAGGCCACTAGCATGCCTAGGCGAGTCTGAGGATACGTAGTACATCACACTGCTTGTGCCAGTGTGTGTCAAGTAACCTTCCAGCGCTCACCTGGTGTACCTTAGATATGATTTGTCAGGAAACAGGTCACGTGTTTTCTGACGCTGGTCTTAGTCATATAATGACCGGCAGCTGAAGCTTTTGGTCATCTGACCGAGGCCTTCCACTGGCTAACCCCTCCACCCCATTAAAAATTAGGTTATAGCGTCACCCTCCAAACATCAAGTCATGAAACAAAAATAATACTGCGTGAGAAGCTAATTTCCGTGACATACGCTTTCTTCAGGGTGTATGTATGTCCTTGATGCTGGTGACGGGTTCTCGACTGAAGCAACCAGAGCTACCCTCCCCTTTATTCGAATCAAATACTACCATAATTACCTTCCATTCCCCAGAAACTGCATGACCCTTACGGGTTTAACTCTTTCCCATAATAAAAAAAGCATAATAATAATAATAATAATAATTAACAACAATAATATTCATAATAAAGAAAACCTCGAAACCTGGTATACCAGTTGCCAAGATTCATAGCTTGGTAAAGTATATATTAGCGTTTAGTGGCCAGTAGAAGGAGCGAATTTTGCAAAGATCACTTTTAACGGCTATAACTTTCAAGACACTGAACATTTACTTGTTGCAGACTCGGGAAGTACCGGCAGGTATGGACCTGGTGGCCCTTAACACCCAGAGAGCCAGGGACCATGGTATTGCCCCTTACAACGATCTAAGGGAAGCATGTGGACTTCCTAGGGCACGCACGTTTGAGGACCTGCTTGATGTTCTTCCTGCAGAGGTAAGACTTGCGAGTACGAGAGAGAGACAGAGAGACGAGCAGAATTAAGAAACAAACTATTAGCTTGTACAATGCATTAACAAAACTCAAAGCTTTAAACCCATAAAATTCTGAAGTGTTGGTTGAAGTGAGAGATAAACATCCCGTAGATTTTCAGAAAAATTACATTTCAACCAGGATATACTACATGTATTTCTTGCTAAATGCATAGAATGAATACATTAGTGAGGTGTATGACTTTCACCATTTAAACTTGGTCCTTTTTTTATAATCCATGTTTACTATTCCTACCATACCATCAATATCAGCATCCCTTATCCGGCTATCACACACCCACAATGTCAAAAGACCTCCCCACCCATTTAATATATATTTAAATAGCAATTCCACATTGAACGTACATATACCCTAGAGAAGACCCACTTCAACAAATATTAAACCCCCAACATACAGCGTCGGTGTTTATAATAGCCTATCACACACACACACACACCCTGCAAACGCTTTTCTCCCCTCTACTAAATATACTGCCGATTATAGTATCCACTAGGTTGTAATTGCTATTTCGTGACAGGTGGTGCAGGCGTTTAGCCGCCTCTACTCCTCAGTGGATGACATTGACCCCTTTGTGGCTGGCATCTCAGAGAGGCAGGCACCTGGCTCCATCCTTGGACCCACCTTCAGGTGAGAGGTCACACCAGGAGAGCTACATGAAGAGTTAGACTGGCAGGGAGGGGGCATAGACAGACACATGCAGGAAATTATAGAAAAGATGGCGACGAGGTAAGATAGAGAATGAAATGATGAAAGATAAGACAAAGGGAGTGATAGGGAGGAGGGTAGGGAGAGGAATATACAAAGAACGATAACGAGAATAAAGAAAATAAGGCTAATACAAGGAATGATAGGAAGGGTAGTATCGTACGTAGTAGGGATAGGGAGCTACAATAAAGATATGATACAAAGGGTGACCAGAAAGGCAAGGGGTGAATATAATATGGAGACGGGTGGAGTGAATAAAATGAAAGAGGGGCTGTCCCACAGAGAAACTGGGTGTAATGAGAGATAGTAATGGATAAAAAAAGGGACAAGAGTTACCACCTTTTCATAGTGTCCCCATCAAGCAAATATATATCAATCAAGTACTTAACCTACGAAAATATGAATTATTTAATAATGAAATACTGTGGAAAATAATTTCCCAATATTATGCTGTGTAAATAAACCTGATTAAAAGTGTATTTTTAAAAGAAGTATGTTATCGAAAATGGGAAGCCTGCGCCTGCGCAGAGATACTCGCCATGTTTGAACTGGTCAACACAAATGTTAGAGAATAATGTGAAGAATTTTCGTGCTCTAGAGGTAAAATTGGGTTGACACCTCTCAAATAGGAGGCGAAATTGTTGGATATGCATTCCTGCATAAATTGAGATATCAGACGACTGGACAAGACAGCTCCAGGAACCTCAGATAAGCTATCTAGATTCGTGTTATAATTCTGGCCAGTATTTTCATAAATTTAGTTAGTGAGGTTTTCTGAGTATGATACACCTTGATCTCCAGTCAAATTGGCGAGTGATTTTAAGATATTCTCCCTCTGTTATGTATATGTATATAATCATTTATTATTTTTAATATACAGTCACAAATTTATATATTTACCAGAATTCCTAGTGATACATATTCATTTGTAATTAATAGGTCCAGAGCAACTTGTGGATATGACAGTGGTAGGTATCGAAGGGGGACATTTTTTTTGCGACCTAGGTGTCCCAAATTCCTACTTGTCTGACTGATAAATAATAATTATCTTTGTTCATTTACTGTTATGTACATAATGATACATTCAGATAAATGTAATTTTCCACAAATACTTTTTAAAAATTTTCAATTAGATTATTTATCAACATGATGACTAATCTTGTTTTCACAGAGACACTTTATTGAACCTTCGTATGTTTTCCCATTTTTTTTAATTTCTGGTATCCACTACAGGTGCATCATTGGTGACCAGTTTACCCGGCTGAAGCGAGGAGACAGATTCTTCTACGACTTGGCAAATATGCCCAGTTCATTCTCTGAAGGTATGTTTACATATGTCTACAGTCTAGTGTATTTTTAGTGGAACAAGTGGTCAGGCAGAAGTATCTAATAGAAGGTCTCGGTCAGATGACCAAAAACTCCAGCTGCGGGTCATCATATTAAGACCAGTGTCAGGAAACACTTGCCTAATTTAACTTCATGCTGACTGCCATATGAAATAATTATATATTTGGGAGGGGGGAAGGTTACTATATTATATATTTATGGCATTGTGTATGCTATTGTCCAGATATGACAATGAAGAAAATTTATTACACAACCGTGGAATATGAAAAGTTGGTACGGCTGTAGTTTTCTAGCAAGTCAATTATAACTATAATACTTGGTCAAGTTAATGATGCACATCACTGTTGCAGCACAACTACACTCCATCAGGATGATATCCTGGGCCCGCATCATCTGTGAGGCTGGCAACATGGTAGGCTACGTCCAGCCCCTGGCCTTCAGACAACCCCGTGGCCTGTAAGTTACTCTGTATATACAATATTATTTAATCTGGTATTTATATTTCTTGCAACGTACCTTTTGCCAACTCTGCAACTATTAATTTAATGCTGATTATCCTCTGTATATCAAATAAATCACCCAAAATAATTGTATCTAGTAAAGGGTAAAATCCTTGCTATCAAGATTTTTTTCTAAGATTAATCTGGACTATATTACACAATGCTTCAAGACAAGTTTAGCCTACCAAACTTTTGGTCACAAAGCTGCACATTTTGGATATTCAAAATATGTAGCCTACATAAATATAATTTAGGATAAAATCTGAAGCTTAACCTTGTACAGTTCTTGGTATTCAAATGAAAGAATTAAAAATAAGCGACGTTCATGGAATTTTACTCATGCGAGTCGCTTGTCCAAGTGCAGTTGATAATATATTAACTTTTATTTTATTTGCTGTTGTACATTTTATTTACCTTTTGAATAGTACATTTTAATTACTTTATGCTATGGAACATTTCAGTTATTTGTGGCATATTTAAGACTAAACAACATGAAGTAATGGCTACCACATTAATATTCCTCTGCGTCTTATTCTTTACTTGCTTTGTGATATATCGTTTCCAAAGAAAAAGGATTTTGTGATATCGCCTAAAATTAAGAGGTTTTATAGGTTTTAAAAATAATGCTTTACTTAAGATGTTTGTGATTTGAAGAGACGACGTTTCCTGAATTATAAAGGATAATTGTAAATTGCTATAATTATCCAGGCTTGTTATATTTCACAGTAGCTTCGTTCCCTCTCAATTAATGAGCCAGTGGGACTAGATATGCAGAGTCTGCACTCTTAACATTCCCTGCTTATTTTGAACTATTAAACTGTGAAAACAAATGATAAATGTATGAGAGTGCATTAGGTGATGTTCAGTGTAAAAAAAAAATGTTTTTCTTTCAGGAATGAGAGAGTTCCCTGTGACAGTCCTGCCATCCCATTCTTGGACCTCACGCCCTGGATCTCACAGGCTTAGAAATATGAAGATAAGACAAGAGAAGACAAGGCTCCTGTTACCCACTAAGTGATATAACAAAGCGTATTCTTGCTCACTGTCGAGCACAGCTCACCCGGCACCCTCATGGAAGTACTATCATACAGACACCCATCTTACCAGTATTCAACGATGCCATCACCAATTCAGTCACTTGACTAATGATGTAATAAACATAAGTTGCTGTCTTCCTCAGTGAGTTCTCCACGGCTGCCACCTCTCCACTATACTGTAAAACAACGTAGCGTCTCTCATTATTATTTAGGAGCTAATTTTAACACGCTTGTGTCTGCACTACGGCTAAAATATACATTTCTTCTTTAAATGTTGAAGCTACCAGGATTATTAGCACCTTTAACCTTGCCTCTTAAAGCACTAATTGTCGGGAAAGGTGTATTAAATAATACACCTTTCCCGACAAGACTCCTACAGCTCCCAACCCACCACCATCCTGAGAAGACGGAAACAGAAGAGGCTAGATTACAAGTCACTGTTGCATTGTTAAAACAAATACCATTTCACACTGCGGTACAAACAAAAAAGCCTACAACTAATTCTTTAAGAAAGACATTTTTTTCAGAATTGTTCTATCTTAGGAAGGTTCATTTCACTGCAAGTCTCTACAGAGACCTTCTCCCGTCCCACCACAAAGCCAGAGTGTAACTCTTGACTCCAGTTGCTGTTACCGCAACAAAAAATGCGGTACAGTTATTTTAACTTTATTCATTATTACTTTTTTATGTAATTTTATTCTATAAGTGTGAGAGTAGTCAGGAGCTACCAGAGCTTTTGACTGAGACTGTTTTGTGTAGTAGAGCAGTGGTAGAGGGGTACATGTCTACCATCCATCCATAACAGCTGTACTGATAGATGTCTAACCTCCCATCCATTACATAGAACAGTGCTATATCTCGTTTACTCCCCCTCTATCCATTGCATATAGTGGTAGATGTTGTCTACTTTCCATCTATTACACACAGTAGTGGTAGATGATGTCTACCTTTCATTCATCACATATTGTAATGGTAGATGATGTCTACCTCTCATTACATCGTGTAGTGGTAGACTTCTTGCACCATCACATAGGGTAGTGGTAGATGATGTAGAGGTAGATGACGTCCATCTTCCATTCATTACTTTGTAGTGGTAGATATTGTCTACCATCCGTTACACAGCGCAGTAGTAGACGATGCCTACCTACCATTCCTAGGTGGTACACAAGTGGTGATAAAGTGGCTATAGATCTAAGAACACTCCCCAAGGGAGGTTCCTCCTTGATGCTGGTGATTGGTCCTCGATCCAAGGGTTTGGACCTACCTTCATGGTACTCGGCTTTAACAAAAAAAAAAAAAAAGACTACAAATCACTCAGAACAAAATGGTGAGACTCATCCTGTACCTGGGTCCAAGAGAGTATGTTGGCCAGCATGAATTACAAGTGGATTTGCTGAATGTTGAAGACAGAGTAAAACAACTGAAGTTAGATCATGTTAATAAAATTGCTCACAAACAGGGCTCAGAATATCTTGCTGCGGAGTTTGTGAAGGTTAGAAACCAAAATCAGTATGGTATTAGGAAAGTGAGCAGTTTTGTAGTACCTACAGTAGGTATTCAGGCTTCAAATACCTTTTATTATACAGCAGTAAAGGAGTGGAACAGCTTGCCTGAACACGTCAAAGCCTGTCCTAACATGAGCCAGTTCAGAAAGAAAGCTAAAGTACCTAATGAATGAAGCTACAGAAAGGGAGAAGAGTGATTTCTTGTATAGTCAACATTCGTGTACCTATTATTGAAAGCTGATTTTTCTCTATTTAATGTTCATGTACATAACTCAGTTCACATTATTTCTCCTGCTCCTCCTTTTACTGTAACTGATTTTCACACAGTTGAATTAGTTGTTTTAATTTTTAAGGTTATAATTACGACTGATTTCTACTGTATCTTACAGCTAGACTTTAAACAAGACATTACAAGGCCCCAAGTGGAAATAAGTCACTTGGTCAGACTTTTGTTTGGGGTTATCATAGGTAATTTACACATATGTTATTATGTATGATAATTGAAGTCACCTAAACTTGTATAGAACTTGATTGCCTCCCATTCCCAAAGCGTTGTATGGGCCCCTTTGGGTTTAGCGCTTCCCCTAAATATAATTATAATAAAAACACTACAGATACAAGAATTTTCATTTTCCCTCCTATTAAGTACAATTTCCACGGAATAAAATGGCTACAAAAATTTTGAGCAACAATGCAGTTATTTATTTTATAGTATAATAATAAGGCATTAAAATGACCCCAATGGAAATAAGTCACTTTGACTTTTTTGGGTTACCGTAGGTAATTTACACTATACATGATAATTGTACTTATTGTGGAAAATTGCATTTATCTGAATGTAACTAATTATGTACATAACAGTAAATGATAAAGATAATTTTTATTTATCAATGTTACATAGACAAGTAGGAATTTGGGACACCTAGGTCGCAAAAAATGTCCCCCTTCGATACCTACCACTGTCATAACCACAAGTTGCTCTAGACCTATTAATTAAATAAAATATACATATACCAGGAATACTGGTAAATATATAAATTTGTGGACTGTATATTAAAAATAATAAATGGTTATATATATACACAATTACATAACAGAAGGAAAATATATCTTAATATCACTCACCAATTTGACTGGAGATTAATGTGTATCATACTCAGAAAACCTCACTCTAACTAAATCTATGAAAATAATGCTGGCCAGAATTACACACAAATCTAGAGAGCTTATCTGAGGTTCCTGGAGCTGTCTTGTCCAGTCGTCTGATATCTCAAGTTATGCAGGAATGCACATCCACCAATTTCGCCTCCTATTTGAGAGGTGTCAACACAATTTTAACCTCTAGAGCACGAAAAATTCTTCCCATTACACCAATGTTTGTACAAAATTCAAAACCAAGATGGCGAGTCTCGTCTGCGCAGACGCAGGCTTTCCGTTTTCTATGACAAATATTATTAAATACAGTATGGCCATCTATTTACATATAAATACTGAATTTCTGGAAAATATATACAGTATTTTCCACACTTATTATTTATTATTATTATCATATGACTGACACCGGCGTCAGGAAACACTTGTCCTATTTCCTGACAAACTTTATACCTAATTAGACTGAAGTGGTTAGAAGAGAGCCAGGTGTTGCCCAGTGCAACACAAGCATTCATCCCTAAATTTTTGCATAACCATGGGCTTTTGCAGCATTAAATTTCCCCCTTTCTTTTATGTAAACAATGGATCATGGGGAATTTAAACTCTGACTTTGACTTTGCACTTTAAAAGGGGTTACTGATACAACAGTGACCCCTCAAAAGAATTTTCTTTGATACAAATAATTTAAAAGTCCAATCAAGAGCCCGGGGGTAATATGAAAATAGGTTTCAATGTTAATGGGACATCAGAGGCACACAAAAATTTTAATTAAAAAAAAAAGGGTATCAAAAAAATAAAGATGTCATTTTTCGAAATAAAATGCACATTTTACACCCCCTTCCCCCAAAAATTTTGCACCATAAACTATGTGATAATATAGAAATTTTGTGGTGGAGACGGAAAAAAAAAAAAAAAATAGAGAATAGAACAGCGATTGATAAAAAAAGGTGGGGCCGACCTTTTCCATTGTGGGAGTGCCAGATCCCCGGCTTTTCAACACCAAGTTATTTTTTGATAAATCAAATCACATATTACTCGGGTAGATAATTTCCCCAGTAGACCCTTCATGTTTTTGCTAAAAATCAGGGGGCCCAGTATGGTTTAAATAAGTACCCAGATCAAAATCAATAGACGGGTCCAACCCTTGATGGCCCAAACCCCGGGGGGAGGGTTTTTCAAAGGGTTTCGTTGTGCACCACCTGCGGTTATTAATGAATATTAAAGAGGTTGCGTAGAATTGCGTAAAAAAACCCTTCAAATCTTAAAGCTGTGTGTAGTCTGTGGCGTCAAACAACGGGCTTCCACTGCATAAATTGTCTTTCGTGGAAATTGTGTCACCCCCCTTTGGTGAAATACCCAAAACAGCTACAAGCAGTAAATTTAAAAAAGGGGAAAGGTTTTTGGAGCCCAAATGAGATAAATCTGTGGACTAAAAACACGGATTAAAAAGGTCAACATCAAAGGTTTATGAAAACCTGGAAACTTCTACAACAGATGGGGAACATAAAAATCCGGGCTGAATGGGACTGCCCTTATACTGGCCCTGTTCAGAAACTGTAAGGCTGGAGTGATGTCCCGGTAGTCATAAATGGGGGGCTGATAGTGCGTCCCGGGGGGACGAAAAGGGGAAACTTTGGGGGTGCTGTCCTGGAGCAGAATGGTGAAGTGAGGGCTGTCCCGGAGACAGTAATGTGAAGCGGAGATGCTTCCTGGGAGACATAATGGGGAAGGGGGGGCTGTCCGGGGGAGGCAGTAAGGTGAAGCTGAGATTTGTCCAGGGAGTCGGGAACTATAGCAGGAAGGGAAAAAATATGAATGCCCCAAGGGGGCAGGAGAAGTAGGGAAAAAAGTGTAGTCAAAATAAGAAAAACCAAAATTGCAAAATAGAAATACCGCAGGAAATAAAACAAGAGGGTCCCCTAGCAATAAAGGGGGATATATTACCAAAAAAAAATGGTGGGACTCCATTGTTGGTGCTTTGGGAGGATAGAAATAACGGGGAAAAAGCACCCAAAAGGGGAAAACAGCACAGAAAAACCCCAAGGGAAAAAGGAAACCAAACCCGTGCACAAAATGCACCGGTATTGCTGGGTGGGGAAAACTGGAAAAAAGATGGGGCTGCAACTTGACCCCCTAGAAATCCCTGCCATTGACAACAGGAAATGCAAAATCCCCTTCCCGTAAGCTTTTTCACCCCGAAAGTGTCCTTTCTCAGGAAAAACTGTGCTATAACTTAAATTTCCGGCATACCATCTAAAAGGGGGCAAAAAAATAAAAAATCCAGCCAGGGAAAACCCGGGTAGCCACAGCATAAAGAGGGAGAGGTTTTAGTCCAGGGAAAGGGAAAAAAAAAAGGCAGGAAAAGGGAGAAAACGTACACCAAATCCGTTTCCCGGAGTGGGGAACCACAGTCGTGGCCCCACTCCAAACCAACAGATACAGTTAAGCCCGGAAAAAAATCCCCCCCCAGTACCCCAATCCACCATTCCATAACCTTTTCTTTGCAAATAACATCTAAAGCCGCCAAAAAACAACAAAATATTTCATCCGGGACTGCTTGCAGGGCAAAGGCAAGTTCGCGGCTTTCCTGAGACCCACATAAAGGATCCTTTGACAACGAAATAGGATCCAGGTTACAACCCAAAATGGACGGTGAACGGCAAAAGGGGGGGGGGTTGGCCTGTACATTGCAGAGTCACTTTTGTTTGCAACAGAACTGCTAAATGGCCTCAAATGATGTAGTGGATGTTTTAGCAGTAAAAGGGTCGAGAACAAAACTAGTATTGTGTTAGTCTACAAGCCTCGGATGCAACATCCCAGCAATTCCAGGACAGCTGTTAAAAATTGACCACTTGTTCTGGAAAACCTTCCCGCTCCTGCACAAACACTTGATCCTGGGGGATTTAACTTAAGGCACCTAAAATGGAGGATTATAGCAAATAATATGTTGCAGTAAATAAAGACCAGGATGGCAGCTCTGTGAAAACTTCACCATCTCACGCGAGACTTTTAAATTCTGTAAAATTCATTTAAAAAACCAGCCAAAATATAGAGCTACTAGATGGAGATACACTAGACTCATCATCACTAACAATGATGATTGATAAGAATATCAACCATATCAAAAACAATATAACTCAGATCCACAACATAATTGAGGTTAGTCATGTAGCGCGGAGCCCCAGACCGAATACATGAGATTTGTCACGAGGGAGCATTCACCAATTCAACTTCAATAACAAAACATAAGTGGAGACTAAGTAAACCAAGTCCTAACCGAATAAGCTGGGAAGATTATACTAAGCAAACAGACCCCAACTTTGCCTAGAACAGAATAACTCGGTTTAGCACTCGGTGTATGCACAAGGCTTATTCCTCTAGAAAAAGGAGGAAGTAGATGTAAAACAGAAAGAGGACAGGCGCTCCCTTTACAGGGCGACGGAAAAGAATTAACAGAGCGGATAAAAGAGGTCAATATATCTGAAATTGCGTAGGGAGACAAGGTCAGAGAAATAGCAGCTCGAACTTAAGCTAAAGAAATTTTAGGAGTCAGGAATCGCAGGGAAGAACCTAAAGCCATAAATGAAATCGAAGAAACCCAAAGTGAGTTTCTTCCTCCTATGCCAAATCAAAAATCGAGAACAACGTCCAGTATTGGGGCCCCTACTACAAGATGGGTCCTAC